CAGGCACTAAGTGCCTACATAATCAGTCCTCAGTGAAAACCCTAGACTCCTAGGCTAAGGTGAGCTATCCCAGTAGACAATATTTCACGTGTTGTTACGACCCATTGCTGTCAGAATTAATCACATCCAGAATTAAGTACATCCAGAATTAAGTGGCTTCATTGGGAAAGCATTCTTAGAAGTTTGTGCCTGTTTTCCTCCAGACTTCATCTTGTGTGCCTTTTCCCTTTACCAATTTTACATTGTATCCATTTACTATGGTAAATTTTGCTGAGTCCTCTGACTCCTAATAGATCATCAAATTGGGGAGCTGGTCTTGGGGACACCTGATATACTCTACTTGTGAATAAGTTAAAAGTATGAATACATATCAATATATCTGCCCATGGAATGTTGCCTCGTCTCTTCACGATGCCAGAGAGTATTCCATTCATAAATCAGAGATATATGACAAAGTAAAAATGCCCACCAAAATAACCTTCCCTAGTATGTAACAAGAATTAAAATGTTAATGAGTTAATCAGTCAGAGCAGCAAAATCTATGCTTTTTTCCAACAACAACAAAAACCTCTAAGCTTGTTTTCTAATATAAAAACACAAATTAAATACGGTAAAGAATGTTCTAAAGTATTTTAATAGCATTAGTGTGGCAGAGAGTCAAATACGCAATTACAAATGAGAAAAACTTAGACTATTTCAAGCAATTGTTTTTCACTCTATTGATAAAAACAACCTTGAGGGAAGTGAATCTTTACTCCTCCTCCAGAACTCAAATCATTCTAAGAACTCACCTCCTACACATGAGACTGGCTGATATTTAATCTCCAGATCTCGTTAGAGAAATCTCTCAGTGCTGCAGGCATAACCTTAAAAGAAAGCTCAAAAAACTTCTCTGAAAATTAAAAAAAAACTCTCGGAAGTTACTGATATTCTCTAATGTTCTATTAATGAGCTATAACTAAAATCTAATGATTTGATGAGCTTCCAGAGAAGATGATCATGGAAAGCATATCTCTGTTGACGCTTGAATTATGTAGTAAGTCTCAAGAATAATAACTTATACCTAATTAAGTAATTAGGTGAACAAGTCATACACATGTTTCTTGTTGTGCCACAAGTTTGTGTCAATGTGCTACATGATATCTAACACACATTATTTTTGTTTGTTTGTTTTGAGTTGGAGTCTCACTCCCTTGCCCAGGCTGGAGTGCAGTGGCACACTCACCGCCACCCCAGCGTCCACCTGCTGGTCTCCGGTGACCCTTCCCCCTCAGCCTTCCAAGTAGCCAGAACTACAGGTGCGCGCTACCACACCCGACTGATTTTAGATTTATTGTAGAGATGAGGTCTCGCCAAATTGCCCAGGCTGGTCTCGAACCCAAGGGCTCTGGCAATCCACTCGCCTCGGCCTCCCAAAGTGCTGGGATTACAGGCTGAGCCATTAAGCCCGGCCCACACATTATTTCAACAAAATGCTGAACAGAAAACTTGAGAGAAGTAGAATTAAATGCATTTTTAAATTTCAATCACTCATTCAGATAGTAATTATCACAATTCAAACAATTTAAGTTATATGTGGAAGGCTCTCCCACATCATTCTCCTTCATATAATGTCTTTACTGTCTTCCTTTCTCTCAGTATTTTCTTCCTAATGCAAGAGTTTGAGGTCCCAATTTGAATGTGACCAGGTTTTCTCAGTTTATCCCTGGTTCCCAGATCAATTCCTGGCACAATGTCCTCACTAAATATTCATTATTACTGTTGTAAGAACAAGGGAAAAAGTGATGGTGAGGGGGAAAAAAAGGTCTTGTGGAAGTCAGACACTGAGACCTAATCCATTATCTCGCTCTACATCCAAAAGTAAGTTTTGCTAGTGTTTCTGCCCTTGCTTCTTTCAAACCACGTCTAGCCTGGCATGGGAGTTAAGTGTGTATTGTGCCACACATCTCTGATGTCCTCGATGCTGCCTACCTACCTAGGCCTACAATGCTTACCTTCATGTCTTAGATGAATCCCCTACACTTAACACTCATAGGACTTAGACATAAATCGGGATCTCTATGGACCCAATGGTCATTCGTTATAGAGGCAGACATCATAGAAAGAAAGAACTGAGATGATCTTGTCCTAACAGTAAAATCCTGCCACTATTCTACCTATTTTCTTTCTAGTCTCATTAGCTGAACATAATAAAGTATAACTATGGAATTTAGGTCCAATTTTAGCAATAAAAGCTAGTTCTAACAACCATGTATAAAGTCTGTAACATCTGTCCACCAAGTCATATTATATTTTAAAAATCTTGGCCGGGTTCAGTGGCTCAGCCTGTAATCCCAGCACTTTGGAAGGCCGAGGCAAGTGGATTGCCTGAGCCCATGGGTTCAAGACCCATCCGGGGAACTTGGCAAGACCTCGCCTCTACAATAAATCAAATATTAGCCGGGTGTGGTAGCACGCGCCTGTAGTTCCAGCTACTTGGAAAGCTGAGGCGGAAGGATCGCCTGAGCCCAAGAGATCGAGGCTGCGGTGGCCGGGAGCATGCCACTGCACTCCAGTCTGGGCGACAGAGTGAGACTCCAACACACACACAAAAACAAAAAACAAAAAAAAAAACACTTAACTTTGTGATGAACTACCCCTCAGTTGTCAAAACAGAAGACTTATTTTTCTCAGAAGGAAAGCCATAAACACATCCTACATGGTATTGAGAACAAGTCATATGATTATCTGGAGTAAGCATTCCAGGCAGGAGAGGCAGGTATGTGTACGGCTTGTTTGAAAAACAGTAATGAAGCCAGTGTGGTCAGTATGGAGTATACAAGGGGAAGAATAATAGCAGAAGTCAGACCAGTAAGAGTGAGAGAAGGAGATAGAAGATCAGTTGGGGCCTTTTAGGTTAGGGCAAGAACTTTGACTTTTCTTTGAGTAAGACAGGAAGTTGATGGAAGTTTTAGCTTATATTTTAATATCCTGAAGGAGGAAAAGGGCATAAGTGGGCAATAAGTTTGGAAGTCATTGCAATTATCTAGGTGGGAGTAATAAACAGTGGCTTGGATCAGGGTGGTAGTAGCGGATTTGCTAAAAAGTGTCAAATTCAGGATGTTTTGAGGGTAAAGCCAAGAGGACTGCTAATAAACTGGATGTGGGGTGTAAGAGAAAGGAGTCAGGAATTGCTACCAAGAGTTTTGGATAGAGCAATTGGAAGAATAGATTGCCATTTATTGAGGTGTGAATGACTGCAAAAAGAACAGATTAGGAGAGAATGTTACAAATTTTGTTTTGGAAGTCATAAATTGGAGATGCATATTGGACAGTATGGTTTTCTAACCTGTACCCCTCCTTTTCCCCACTAGGACTAAAATTCATTCTGAATGTTAGCCCTGACCTAGCCATGACCTGGGAGGCTAAATCCTGACTCCCAATCTATAGCTGTTGGCTAGGGTCCTACTTTATATAAATGAACCACCTGGAACCAAGATACAGCCACCAGCCTGATTCAGGTACTATTGCCAGAACCCAGAAAGCAACATCCCATTCACCAAACTTGATTGCCTTCAATACTGATTTTTTTGGCCTGATTGTCCTGGATGTTGATAATTCCCTGTATATACACCCTATGATTTCCATTGTAGCTGTACTGTGGGGATCGTTGACATAAGGTAATTCCTCTAATTCTAGCCCCCCCAACATAGATGCTTTTAAAAAATGGAATTAAAGAGATAAAAAGATGATGAAATAAATTTTCAAGTGGTTTTCCTAATCATATTTACTTCCGGTAGATTATGTGTTTAACCCCTAATCTTTGCATGACAACTTATGTTGCAAAACCATACTGCCAATTTTAAAATGATCCGTCCTCTCAAATGAAATCCAAAATGATTTAGAATTCAGAGTCTAAAAAAATGGAGGGAGCCTCAAACCCTAAAGCAAAGATCAATTTTTAGGTCAGCCTGCTGTATTGGCTACCCTAAAAGTCATTGGTTTTGTTCATTCATTTTTGTATCATAATTATTCAAGGATTGCCCTGTTTAGTTACTGAACAACCTGGGGAACAGCTCAAGAGACCCTGAGTTGCCATGCTTCTGCTGCCTGCTGCTCATGTTTCAGACGTATAGTTTTTTTACACAGAATATTTTTCAGTTATTCATTTATTCCTTGTGATCCCTGTATTTCCCACTCCAGCCCCGATCAGTTTCAATTGCCTTGAGAAGAAACGTTTGAAATGTAAGATGTTATTGTGAAACCATTCCGTAGCACCTGTGCAAAACCGTTTTTGTAAGAAGTCTCCACTAAAGTGTAATGACATTTCCTGAAACTATAGAGAAGGCCGAAATACAAACACGCCCTCCCTGAATATGAGGTGCTATTCCAAACACATTTCTCGCCAGCACTTTGCTTTTTTGCATAGATGTCTGTCCTAGCGCTATGGACGTATGACAAACGTCAGCGAGTCATTCTATAATCAGAAACTGTGAAGGTAAATCAGGTCCGGAATCCCGGAGCTTCACACTTTTACTCCTTCACCCGAGACTCCGGGGCCACGTGGCCAGATAGGTGTTTCACCCCTGGAAACCGAAAAACACCCTCCCACAGCGACTGTCCCAAAGGGACAGTCGTTAATGGAACCCAATGGGCTTTTCCCTGCGGGCTACCGCCCGCTTCCAGCCTCCTCCCCCATCGCCTCCTCCCCCATCGCCTCCTCC